GAAAACTTCAAGCTCTCAGACATTTTGTACAAAACTGAGCCCGGAAACATTTATGACAGAATGAAATTGGGCGAATTAAGGGTTGACTTGATGTTACTGTTAACTGCTAATACTTCCTCCCAGTACATATTTGAACTTTAGGAAGGGCGGGACAAGGGTTGTCTCATTAGTGTACATGATAAAGAGCACAATGCCCGGAGAGCTCAAGGAGGGGGTTCGAGTCCCGTCCGGGGCCGAAGTTTTGTTTACAACTCGTCATCCTTGTGTATGAATTTCATCTGAATATGACACCGAGTATAAGATCGTATTCAAGGTGGGCCTTAATATTTCAGCATGTATGACAGTAACGAAAATATCAAAGAAAATTTGAGTTTAAAGGGTCTGGAGTTAGTAAGTAATGTGTAGAATGCTAGTTTGTAATCTCAGAACATTAGTTTAGCAGGAAGATGCCACTCAGGGAATAGACTATAGCTCCTTGACCCCACTCCGTCACCCACTCGCAACATATACATAGGCATTAATTTTTAAAGTCCAACTTTTGTTCCGAAATCGTTTCACCTGATAAAAATAATAGGATGGATCAGCCTTTATCCTATTATGGAACTTTTCATGCCTTCTTTACCTGTAGCAGAGAACCCAAGTAAAATCCCACATTAGCAAATTCTTTCAATTGTGTGTTATTATACACCACACGATCGTCAATTCCATATAGGATGGGCTGTTGTTCCCACGTGGCGAGTGCGATTTCTAGTATTGTGCTTGGATCCATGCTGGACGGTAAATAGCTTATACTGTAAATAGAAATAGTTGAAAAACAATGCAAAGATGACCATTTTCTTCTGAAATATCGCTTGACCGGTTTATCTTGAGAAAACTCACGTATAGCCGTTGTATGAATCGCCTGGCGGAACCTTAGGATTACTTATGTTACAGTTGAAAATACTCGTGAGAGCCATTTCCTCGAGCATCGGACTCGCTTTCTGAAACTTTCTTGAAAGCCTGAAAGTTTTATAAAATCCTAATCACTCTATGTTGTATAAAAGACCCTTCCAGGGCTCCATAATTTGTAGAGCTAGCAGGAGAAAATAGGAGCGTTCATTTCCCTCGCTTTTTTTGGTTTTTAATTTTTAATTTTTAACCTCAAGAGTGGAGCTTTGAAAAGTGAGGCAGAAATTAGGTTGAACAGCTGAAAAGATGTCGTATGAAAAAATTTCGATTAGCAGAGGAAACACTAATTTTAGTTTTTTTTTTTTTGGAATAAGGGACAAGACGCAAGGTGGACATGGAACGAGCAAGTGAAGTCAATTCTGCGGAGCTGGATTGAGAGAAATTGCTCGAGACGCGCAGTTCACCGGATGGATTGATGGAGTAAAAAATAACTAAAGATAATGCTCCTACAAATTCGTCTACCTTTCCTTCTGAGTTCCAAAGCAAAAAAGCTGAAGCAGACTTTATCATCATTAGCGAGGAGAATAGGGAATTATTCAGAAATTCTCTAATGTAGAGACTTCTAAACTCAATCATTCCTAAATATGAACAAGGTTCTAACGGCGAAAAAGGTGTTTAAGCATGATTTTCTCAGGCGCTGCTAAGCAACGTATGCTAGCATTAAGCGTGTTTGGAAGTAAACGTGCTCTATTTTGAAATCAGTACAAGTCTCCACGGAGGTGTAATTACGTCCTTTTTCGAGAGAATCGAGCGGCAAAGAGCATCAGGACAGTTCTTAACCCTTGTTTGTTCCATTTCAACAGCTTCACGACATGATGTGCCCCACCCGTGTGAGCAGCGCAAGGTCATTGATTGCTACCAAGGACTGCTCAACACCATTTTTGTCGTGAACTGTGCCCTTTGAGGCCACAGTAAGTTGTAGATGGCACAAAGATCGAGACGAGCATTTCACATGTCTGAGCAAATTATTTCAATTCGAGCACGCCACTCAAACAGAATTTGTTAGTTCTTTGAGCCAGTCAGGTAAAAAATTAGCGCTCATGAGAGAGAGAGAAGGAGAGATAGCGGAAGAGAAGAATTGATATCAGGAAAAGAGGATTTCATCTTAAGTTTTCAGCTTTCAATTTCATCTCATCTCTTAGTTAATTAATTAGTTGAACTTCTATTCAAATTCATGGTCAAAATATTACCAGCTGGAACATGGACAGAGTACTTGGTAGATTTCCACCCATTTTGAATGCAGTTCCATTTGCAACTAACTGTCTGAACTCGTTGATCTTTTGAACTGCCTGAGTTGTCATCGACTTTGAATTTCCAACTGAAGCATACTAACAGCTGTTTTAGTATTGCTGTAGTGCATTGGAATACTTTTTTTTGCTGAATCATAAAAAAATTTAGAAGCAGATTAAAGAAAACTATATTTAAGCTGAGTTCATGGTCGACAAACAGTATGGGAGACTACTGGTCGATAGCAAAGCAGTCTGTCTAAATTAAACTGCTCATGGAACACAGTATTATAGTTTGATGATAAAAGTTTTTTGAAGGTTGCTATGAACTCACGACTAAACCCGCTGCAGCCGTGAAGGAGAAAGGCCTGAAATTCGTTAATAGAATTAATGTGAAGTTTAGCAATCAAAGTAGAGCTATGTGTGCAGTTGCATGCTGGACAGAACGCACCGCTCGCGGCTACCTAGTCTTACACAAGGAAGCAGTGATGGCGCCTCTCGACGCACAATCGTTTGTGATTTTGCAGGCAGCCAGTTTTTCGTACAAGTGGAAATTTCACAGTTTGCATGTCGCACTTTCTTCATTCATACTCACTTATTTGTATGCACCCTCTACTAGAGCCTAGCCAAACTGCCTACTTAGCTTTTAAGGTAACCACTCGAGAATTTTTCAGTGCTCACCACTTACAACCTTTCTTTCTGGGGGTCTGTATGAATTTTTCTCGGATTCCACTTTTAAAGCAAGCAAATGTATGTGTGTGTGTAGTTGACGTCGCTTTATTGGTGCGTTGAGAAATATTGCACTTACATACGATTAGGGTAATCGTGGCCAGTTGGTCAGGATGTCACTGGAGGCCAGTTTTCAGCGATTCTCTGACGCTTCAAAACTTTCTGACGCTGACCCTTGTCGCTTGCTAAGTATTGCTCTCCTAGATAGTGGCATTCACCTCAATTCACTCATAGCCAGAATCCAAAAAAATTCTTAATTAGTAGAAGTAGGGTTCCACAAAGGTAGCAGCCCCAAATTTTTGACCTGTCCTAAATACGCACCCACCAGAGAGATAGCAGAGATCAACTGAAAGCTTTGCACGCTCATTAGCGACTTGAATAATGGCTAGTAGGTGCTACACTTACCAGAGGCAAAAAAAGAAGCATGTTGGCTGATGACTTTTATCGCACAAACAACTGATTTTATTAGCTCTTATAAGATGGGATACGTGTGTTGAGTAGAACAATTTCTCGTCAGTAGTATAGCTGTTTCAGCTAGCTGAACGTCCTGAAAAACCATCAGAGGTCAAGCTATCGATGAAGATTCTGTGCCCTACTGATATTCACGAATTAGGTTGACATACATAAATAAAACAAATAACCCTGGTGTAAGATAACTTTTTTTGAAAAGAAATTAAAGGTCGGCTTTTCACTGAGATTCGTCGTTAAAAGGCTCAAAGGGCAAGTACAGTAGAAATCAGAAAGTAACCAATCATGAGAAAAACAGCAAAATCTAATCTTTCTGTCTAGACCTAGACCAACAAATTCTGTAGGTGAAGAACGGACCCAGGTCAAAGCCACATAAATCCCTTTAATGATATGAACTCATGAAGAAAAATTTAAGAAAACCTTCTAAGAGCGGTAAATTGATAGAGATAACAGGTAGCTAGAAAAAGAATAGCTTTCTACATGAGAGCAAAATTTTCCAAGAAGTTATGAGCGCACTGAAAGTACTTCGGGAAGTACTTCCATGACTAGAACACATAAAAGCTTCGCTCAGCTTCGAGCCTTATTGCGATGGTTTTTTTCATCGAACAGCGGTTTATATACATGACAGAAAGTGAGAAAACTGCAATAAATCGTCTTTTAAAAGGTCATCTCAGGCCGTAGGCGATTTATTAATAAATAAAGCGCCCATTATTAAAAATGACAAAGAGGAAAACCATTTTTTGTTTTTTCCTTTTTCATCGTTAGAGAAATCTGAATAGCCACTGAAAGTTCGAATTCAATAGTAAGACTGCATTATTCGGTACGCGAAAAATCCTATCAAGTTGAGTAGCAAGTAATATCCTCTTCTTCAGAGACAACGGCAAATTTTTCGAAACAAATTCCTGTTGTTCCCGTCATAGCGTTGTAAAAGGACCTTAATATAGGTTCGTACCGCGAAGCTAGAACGTCCTTACTTGTTTTTGTGCAGCAACAAGCCGTCCATTTACACTCATGTTGGCACTTTCTTCTTTTCCGGTATCGTTCCGGACTCTTTGCAAGCGAAGCCTGTCGCATTCGTGCGGCAGAAGAACCAAGGTACGCGTAAAGGGTTCGTTCCAGGCTTATCTTTAAGGCAGAGTTTACGATAAAACGGTTTCTGAGATTTCCCTATAGTATGAAGTCGAGGCTCTTCTTTATACCATAATGCCGTAATAAGGTCGAAAAACGTCATGGATAGGGCACAATAAGAGGCTAAAGATTGTATCGTGTGAATACCACACCCATAGTGGACGAAATTGGCGGCGTTCTACAATTTACACTTCCTCAAGAGACTTCCACGTAGAGGGTTCGAAGAACCTGTATGATCTATGGTTACAGTGAAAGGCAATCCCGGACGAATTCGAACTTGCGCAGTAGCAGCAAGTTAAATCTCGTACAGACACCCCTTACATGCCTTTTCCTTCCCGATGATCTCGTACAACCTGCACTTCCACTACTTTTAAAAAGCCTTGAAGTAGGCGGATTTTCTCGCTGTCTTCGCCACCGATGTACTCCTCTACATCAACACTTTCGCTTTTTCACCTACAAACGGCATTTCAAAATTATCTTGAATTGTGCCTCTAAAGACGAACCATGGTCGCGACCTTCACCGACCATAGACTATGGTTCGATTGGGAATCTGATACAGAGCAATCTATACTTCACTACCCGTCAACTTGTTGTAAACATGCATTTCTTTCAAAGGACCATCTGATTGAGGAAAGGGATTCTACACTAGCTAAGTGAGGCCGCTTCGCGGTCAGGGGTGAGGATCTGCCAAAGTTTGCTATCCAGAAGTCAAGATTTCGACTGGCTCAACAAGTTCCTTACTAGAGACGATAAGGTGGGGTGGCCATCCAAACCACGCCAAAGGCTTTGAGAGGGCCGGATGCAAATCAACAGGCATCGCCGGTTCGAGGAGATGAGCTTGATACGAGGAGGGTGATCCTCTGGATTTGGTAAAGTGTACAATGCCTGCATCGCAACGATTACTACTTTAGCATGGTTCTACTGTTGCTTCTTTTGCTCCTGTATCTTTTTACTCGCTGCGACGCTTCTGCTCCATTCTGCTACACCACTTCGGCCCCGACGTCACTCACACCGCGAAGCGGCAATGTCGATTCAATTGAACCACTACCGGTCTTTCCTGCTACATGACAACCACGGTCGCAAAGGAGACTAGGGGGACCTTTTTGATTTGTGTACTTCCTCGATCGCCATTACAACAGCTGCGATGATTGCTAACACCCCCGAAAGGAAATTTCAGTCATTTCTCGCATCAAGGACAGTAGAGCTCATGCCAAGGCTTTTCCATTTACTAGTGAATCAATTAATGTATCAACCAATCAATACTTTTTTCCCTCACACCGTATGGTACGGGTCTCGTTTTTTGACGGAAGGTAGATGTCTCTGTACATCAATATCATGTTCTACCAAGCTCGTTCGCTCAAGTTCAGAATCACCCACTGCGAAAGTTTCATTAACACATTGGCGACCA